GAGCTCCAGTGCTTGCCAAAGTTATACACAATACACAATACAATCTATCTGGTGACATGCATAGCACATGTCCCAACCAGCGTAACCTATGGAGGTTGATTACCTGCTCCAGTGGACGACCGCAATCACCTAAAACTTGACATCGAACCTCGGCATTGCTCGTCCGGTTACCCCACCATACTCGTGCAACGCTGCATAGACAGCGGTGTTCAAACACCGACAATGTATTTTTATTCTGTTTCCGTAATGGCAAAGTCTCTGCACTGTAAAGCAGAACTGGCTAAACTGCTGCAGCATATACTTAACCCTTCACAGACAGCCGGATGTCGCGACGGCTCCACAGATGTCTCAAGTTAGCAAATGCCAACCGAGCCTTCTGTATGCGAACTGACACTTCATCCGTGATGCCTCCACCGGGTGAGCTGTAGCTGCCCAAATAACAAAATTTGTCTACTTTCTCTGTAACTTCTCCCATCAGGGTGAGGTAGGGGACTGGGTCAACCCAATCTTGAAGCAGCGTTTTACACTTTGAAGGTGCAAAACGCATACCGAATATAGCTACACAAGCACTCAAACTATCCAGAAAAGCTTGCAACTTGCCTGGATCTTCACTTAGTAGCGCAATGTCGTCTGCGTACTCGAGATCAGACAGTCTGCCACCCGGGAGTAAATCGATACCGTTATCCTCGCATGAAGATAGGGCTGTTTCAAGAATTAAATCTATGACAAAGTTAAATAGAAACGGGGAGAGAGACTGCCTTCATCCTGGAGATCGTGCATGGGATTACATGAATCCAGTAAGAAGGAAGTAAAAGGATCCAAAGGGAAGAACAGTTTCGAACAAATGTTATCGATTGGATGTTTGACTGAACAGCTGAGATGAAAGAATGCTGAGAAAGGGGACGGGGTTGGGCAAGGTTGCACTACTATTGATCCCTTTGTCTTCCATCAAAGCACGGATTGGGTGATAAACTAGATTGAGCATGGCAGAGTCCAGGCAGAGTAAATCTCTGTCACCGACGCGTACCGACTCGCAAGGCAGGAAGCTAAAACTCCGCCACACAATACTGGACAGAGATACTTTCGCTGTTACTCAGATAAATACCGCATCTGTTCTGTTGCCACCCGAACTGGTCTCAGAACCTACTTGCGTAGGAAGGGCCAACAGTGTTCGTTCATTCTACTGCTCATCATAATGAGGTATGGATAGACAGAGATTCTAACTCTATCACGCTCAGTGCTGCCTATAGCCAAACCGAGTTGATGTTAGTGGTGGTGGAAGACAAGGGGAACAATAGTAATGCAGCCTTGCCTAACCCGATCCACTTTTTCAGCATTCTTCATTCTTAGCTGTTTTCAATCAAACACAACATTTGTTCGAAACGGTTTTTTTCTCGACTTTTTGTATTTCCTTTGATTGAATTCATATAATTTTATTGAATATACCCAGGATGAGAGACGTACAAAATTATCACCGAATTATCGCCTCGGAGGATGTGTATTCGAATCCTACAATCACCACCACCACCGCGGCCTGACTTTTACCACTGTCTGTGTTGTATAGCAGCCCATTGATTGACTGCTTCCTGAAAACTGTAACATTATATATTCACTAAAAGGAAATAAAATAAAAACGGTTGTTATTCTATGGCCATACTATTCAGAGTAGGATCGAGTAAAGATAAATGGTCACACACGCGCGCGCACACATCAATATCACTAGGCATGCAGCGAGGAATATCGAGGGGTTTATTAGACTGCACATTCCCGTTACTGAACGGTAGATCCTCGTGATTTCGGGTTCCTTTATATGAGCAGTTTATACTGCACTGAAGAAATGCTATATTCATCTTGCATAGGGGTGTGGTCCAATGAGGTCGACCAAATTTGGAGAGCATATTTTCTAATGGAGAGATGATCGATTTGATTCCGTGCTACACGGATCAAACAGGGAGCCGAGGCATATACGTTGCGTAATTCATTCATCGAATACCTTTATAAACAAAGATTGCAAAGAAACATGCTAGCTGGTTTGTCAACAACTCACAACTCGGCGCTTCACCATAAAAGCAGTATCGGTGAGTGTGTTTTTACGCACTAGCACAAAACAAAATTGACTGCTGCATCACACGATATCCGCTGTTATTAGTAGATTTTACACATATCTGATTTCAGACGGTGTTTACAACAAACTTCGAAAGAAACAAATCAGTCCGTGATTGGCTCGTGCGCGGATTATTATCAGGTTATCCAGGTCAAAGTAGACGAATTTTCTAGGGTAAATCAAAACCGGAGTATTCAGCTAGCTAAAAACTTGCCTGGTAAAACAGCATGGTATGGAAATCAAGCTGGAGCTGATTGAAGCTGCTTACGGGAACACAAGTTAAAGACAGAGAGTTTATCGTTTTTATTCGTCCAGTCGATTTCCGACCAACACTTTGACAATCGGAAAGACTTGGAAGAATCGCCCTGAATATCTATAGAGTGAGAAATGGTGATACCGACGGAACGAAAGTGGTGTAAACTGTCGAAAATGAAACCGGTATAGCAGTGGTGACCAAATGTCGGAAACATTTGGTGACAATTGAATTATCAGAATGATTTTTGGGTAAATTGGGTTGAGCTGTGCAGATTTTCTAATTGGAATCAGTTTTTTTAAGAATAACTTGAAGTAAAAAAAATCTCATTCAGCCTCAGTCCAGTGATGCCGTCAATACGTGTATTTTTGTGTATGAACGATAGAAATATTATATAATAAGTAGTACATGTGCGACTCAAAAAAAGTCCTCTGGAAGTACATTACCGGTTTAGCGGTTTTTACCACTTATATATATTGTAAATTACGACCTTTGGTGATCAAGACGTGAATTTTTGCAGTGGGAAGGAAATTAATCTCGATGTTCAATGAGAACTATTCCCGGAGGCAACCAGAACTCGTTACTTCAGACTAGATTAACAAAAGAGATGACTCAGATGTTGCCCAACAATCAAAAATATCTGGTTTCAATGTCTCCAGTGCCTGAAAGAAAGCCACTCGTGCGCTGTTTATGTTCATGTGTCCGTGCATCACACTGATCCACAACGTACTCCACTGCTAACTTAAACCGAAACCTAACCTATTCGTATTATATGGCTGTATTCCTCACAAGAATAACAAGACATTTTTTATGTCAATCGATTTGTGGTCACATATTTGATGACCGATAAATGAAGCACTGGACGACTGTTCCGTCCATGTTGAGACTCAACAGCAATGCGTTCCAGTAACGATGAAACAGATTTCCGATGCTCCTTATACCTCATACAGGAAAAAATATGCATACATCCAAAAAAAGATCAGACCAGGTGCGGGATCAAAGACTCGCATAGTAACACCAGACACAGATCCTGGTTTCTATGAGCTCGCTAAAACAATCGAGAAGAAAGTATCCCATTCTTAAACAACCTCATACTGCTCATGTGCGTAACCCAGAAAAATGCCTACACACCACCTTTCATCAAAACAATTCTGATGATAATTCACCGAATTTCGCTCAGTTACTTGTGAGTAGTAGTGATGTGGGGAATAATTGTAATGCATTCACGCACCATACCCAGTTCATTCAGCCCAGCAGACAGTCGGGAATCACAGGACAGAAAAGCACAATTTTTCCCCCATTTAACAGAACTCTTCCGTGATGTATATCCACCCGCCCATCCGGATCATAGGTATGGAGAACTTGTCATCAGTGTCCCAAGCAGCTCTCATGGAACCTGAATACCACTGATGAGTTAACAGAATGAATTTAGCAAACCGAACGCTGATCCAATCCGGCGAACAGAAGAACATGTTTGCCTAGTTTACTGATGAGGACTCAGGTGGTGTAAAACAAAGCTACAGACTTACCTTGAGACTGGTCAGATGTGGCCGAGCACTGACTCCATATGCCTTCAGTTCCGCATCACCTAAACTACGAGTCATCCCCAGACGTCCGTTCACTACGGGTACCCCCAGACTATTAGGAATCACCATTCCGCCGCTGGCCATAATGCGTTCGGGTTCAGTGACTCCGGTCCCATCATCCTCCTTCAGGATGTCGGTCAACGGAACTACACTGGATGGTTCGTGGCTGACCGTAAGCGGTTGAACGCGACCGCGCTGAAAGATCAGGGCACGACTATCGCCGACGTGACCAACAATCAACTGTTGACTATGTAACAGCAGGACCACGGTGGCTGTTGTCCCGGACCACATGCGTTCGCGAGCTACTCGTGGGCGATTAGGGGGAGAAGCGATGATGAACGAGAAGGGAAAACACACATAGACACCTCGAGAAGTGGTAAGAACAGATAAAGAAACAGCACAATAAAACAACGTGATTTCAAAAGAACAGACGGCGAATTCGTAACGGATAGCAGAGAAACCCCGTGCATGTCTTATTGTTTATTTTTTCGAAAATACTTCCGTGGTATCTAACATAGCTTAAAATACACATAAACAATGCAACAACACGAAAAGTCAAAAACTGGGTCAGAGGAAAGTAGAAGCTAGCGATCTTGAATACTGAATGTAAGTCATTTGTGCAGTTTACAATAGGAAAATATCTGTCACACATTTCGGATAATATTAACAAACATCAAGGCCAATGATCACTAAGGCCATTAAACGTCAAATTTTATTAAGAAATGCAAAAGTCGAACAAGAAGACAGATGTGTTGGTAACATAAAAAAATAAACAGCCTACCGGAGGCGTAATAAAAGAAGTGCCGGCTCATCAGATTGTTCACCTGTAGAAACGCGTATTCCAACACACGCTCAAAAGATTTGGGAGGAAGATCACGAAGAGCCTGACGCGACGAGTTCCGTAGTGCGGATAAACAGGAACGAATGCATTCGGGGAACAAGGCACGGGCAAAGTCCGCGGCTGCCGAGCCTCCATGACCATCAAACATACCGAGAAGTAGGTTTTGGGATGATAACCGACACGCGAGAAGACGATCCTCATTCACATGACGGCGACCAAGCAATGAAGCAGCACCAATGTGACACAAATCGATACGGGGTATCAAAGTGCCCTGGAAGAGGCGAGGAGACAAAAAAAAGGAAACTTCTGAGTAAGATTGAAGCTAACGCTATGTGAATAGTTCACGGTCTCATAGGATAATGAGCCTAATAAATATTCGAGTATATTAAAGAAAACTAAGAAACAACAATGGTTGCCGAACGGCTCAAATTGTGATCAAGAATGCAATGAACCATAAAGCTCACTGGTTCAAATCTATCAGCACCGATTCAATTTCAAGTCACTTCGAATGAGTGCTCTGTGCACCAGAAAGGTGTTATTGGATTGGTAATTGTAGAAAGAACAGTCATCGTTATCATCATCATCCAGCAGCGTAATACGGTGAAGCGAACTTCACTGATCGCTGCCAAACTCATAATGTATACAAGGTAAAGGAGAATGTGCCAGGAGGATTGGGATTGGGCCTAATTTTATGGACCGGAAAGAACAGTGTGAATAATCTTCTTGTGTTGGTACATTACAAACCACTTTAGCAGATACAGGGGTACGCCTGCAAGTGAACATGTGAGTAGGCAGAATAAACACAAATCCAGGATGAAACAAACCTCTCTTCATGTAAGAGGTCGCTTACCCGTGCGAGGAAGTACCGAATAGTGAAAAAATCTTTAAAAGTCACCGGTAATCATGTACCAATACGATTCTACGTGGCAGATCACGATAAATTGTGCAAACGCTGGTGGAGGTGCACCTTCAAACAAAATCGAGTGACGCTGGAGACGTCTACTGTGGCACATCTCACAAAATCGCAAAATCTTCCCTAGTAAGCAGGCCGAAGATGAATTAAAGTAAAATTGAGTATTATTCATGTCTGAACATAGAATTTCATGGACAGACAGTGGACTAGATAAGGTGAACTACACAACTTAATTTCTTCCTGAAATTGAGCACGTTTCCGGCTGTTTTATCCATACTTCCAAAAAACAAACTCACTTGTTCCATGCTTTCTTCATTGTCCAAAGGAAGTTGTAAGGCATTCATTTGTTGTATGGACTTGCCAAGTGCCTTTCCCAGTTCTCTTCGGCCCACATTGTGCGTAAATCGCTGTTCAAGAAGCAGAATTTCCGCCCATTTAGGAAATGTTCGGCATTTAGCGAAAATGTGCAAGGCCATACACCAATAATTGTTGCGAAGAGGTGAAAGCTCAATAAATGACGGTATTGCAAGTAGAATCCAGGCTATCAACGAAAACAGAGCACATTTTTAATTGATGAACGTGAAAGAAGTTGCAATACATCGATCTTGGTCAATGTTGCGAAAATGGAGAACCCCGAATCACATTTGCTGATCTTAAACGGCTGGTCGTGGCCAACACTTGTTTTCAGCACCCCAGAAAACACCTGCTTGAGTGGTACTCAAATGATGGTCGAACGCACATCAGATTGGTTATATTTTGGTACGTGCCCGCTGGGCCTCTTCGGTGGAAGAATGCCGTTCCTATCGCGTCGCAGAATCTGGAAACAGGAACGGTACGGACCATACCCTTGTACGCGCCCGCTTCAAGATCCACCTGACTAGTCGCCGTAAAACTCGTCTCCCGAGCAAATTCAACGTCGCGCTCTTAGAACGACCTGAGAGAAGGCAGGCGCTGCTGGACGCAATCGCTTCCAACATAGCCGAAACTTTCTTTGATGACTCAATTG